TAGGACACCAAGCGACGTTTTTTTTTAACAGGCTTGAAGAACACTGAACAAAGCTTTGAACCAAACAATTCTTTAAAATAGACACCAGATGAAGTTTTGAACCGGAAGCAGCATTGGTTATACTACACCTTTTAAAATGTGCAGACGAAAGGAACACTATTCAGACTACATCAATTTTTTTTTAAAAACTGTATTTATACTCAAATTATACAGTGTTGAGATGCTTTTTTCACATTGTTTATTAATTTGAGCAATTTGTTTAATTATTTGTCATAAAACCATGCGAATCCAGAACTGCTTTGTAAAAAAGTGCCACCAACCTGCATATGTATCCTAATTTCGCATTAGTGATTGGTATATTACGTAACATTATGGTATTAAGGTAATTTAATTAATGCGCACGCGCGGGAATTGAGTCCCAAGCGACGATAACAACATACGCTAAAATCGGAAAGGCTCATGGGTAAACGCTTGTCTGTAAACAATGACACGCTATGGCCATTTGACGCATGCGCAGCTAATGACTCCCCGCTTTAATTATTTTAGGTATAGAAGGGTAATTTTTCTGACAAATACAATGCATTGGTAATAGTCTTAGACGTTATACCTTATTAGCATATATTAGCATTTGTATATTATGTAGATAAACCTATTCAAGATGCTAGTGTAAAGGAAGCCATGACATGCCATGAGCTCTCACCTCACAGTGACTTAGAAAATGCACCTGGGAGAGAATCTGGTGAATTATGGGAAGGATTGCACTTAATGAGACAGACACTTTTAACAATGTAAAACATTTTCTAGGAAGTTTTAACAAAATTCAGTTTCAAAATACTGGTTACATAGGTCAGTAGAACTGTGGACGCGATGACAGTAGAGAATGTAAACAAGTCACGTGGCCTTCGCTCTTAACGAGATCCCGACGGCCATTCATGAGTATGGTCTATTAAACCTAACACATTTTCTCGCGATAAAAACGCGGCTCCGCAATTCTCGTGACTTCACCAGTGCGTTTGTTTGTTGTGTATACAAACGTCAGCCGAGTTATAAGCTAGCATCTTACGTACATGGATGGTTATGAAATAACGTACTGTCACTAAAAATTGGATTTGACAAAAAAATATCTTTTCGTCAATGATCAGATGAGAACTTCGCTTAAATCTTGCTGAGCCTAACGTCAAAATCGTTTTCTACAAATATTCACAGTTGTATGCAACAAAAAGATAAAGCATTCGTAAAATTTGAAAAAGTAAGAAAAAAAATTGCGGAGCAGTTCTCTGCCACAGAAGTCGCGATTGTACGTAGATAAGTTAGTATTTCGTATTTCGGGGTCATACGGCGGAAGCGCCTGAGCTTGCGGGGGTGTGTTAGCATTACGACTGAGGCCGCTAAAGCCGTATCCAATCCGTAAAGTTGTTTGTGGGAACATAGGCACATGATCAGTTTGCCAACGGAAATGAAATCGACAGCATACCCTGGGTAGAGTGCCATAGGAATGATTTAGTGAAGTCAAACCCAAAAACTAACAATCTTTTTATTTTTACTTGGAAACAACAAAAGTTGACGACGAATTATCTCATAATATATATTATACAAGTGTCACGAATATATTATTATAATTTATGCAAGCCATAGTGGATTACTATCCCATTGGCTATTGTTATCAAAACTAGGCCCCATATTATGGATAACAAATATTGATACTAAATAAGAATCTTTCAAAAAAAATGCTTTAATTCTGTATGTTATGTTTCAGCAACTGATATTTTCAGTTCAGATAATCTATGGTCATTTCATCTCATCAAATTCGTGACCCTCCTCCTTTTTCATTTGTTTCGTCTCTCCATCTCATTTTCGGGCTTCCTCCCCCACGCTTCCTTACATGTGGTGTTCATTCCATGCACTGTTTTGCCTGCCATCCTTCCCATGTGACCTCTCCACTCCCACTTCAATGATTTCGTCTTAGCTATGTTGTATAATTATGGTTCCTTTGACCTCATCTATGTACCGCCCAAAACATTGTCTTTTTATTTGTCGCATGACAAATTTCCAAATGGATTTTCTTATGCTTGGGAGGTCGTCGGGTGACATTTTTATAAAATCGGGCGTCAGTGGCGCTGTTGTGTGATAAAGAAACTCTGAAATACGAGCTCGCGGAATAACATTTTTTTTGAAATTGACCGTTGGTGGTGCTGTTGCGAGATGCACAAATGGGAGATCGTGGGGTGCGCGATGATATGTTGTGCAAATACAGCCGGAAGCACTTCTAGTTTATTGTTATATGTTTGTTTTTAAAATATTAGAATTTAAAAGCGTAAAACCACAGACTTTAGAAAGGGGAGGAACAGACAACTGTGGATAATTCAGAAGGCTGTTAAATGAGTCGAAATATGGCAGCCATATTGTTATATGACGTAGGCTACGCAATCGATTTAAAATACTAGAGTAATGAAACAGCAAACAACCAACCAAAGCTGCGTGATTTTTTTGTAATCATATTATGAGAACTCGAAGAATTGACACAAATCTTCCTTGTCTGGTAGCATAATCTGTGGTTTACCAGAGAAGAACTTTCAACTGTGTATTGTAAGATGGCGGCACCCACCTACACTGTAGCCGGAAGCAACATAGCCTGCGGACACATGGGCCCTCATTATGGTTAAGCGCCATCTTCTTAGTAAACCAGGTCAAGATCTCCTTGTCTGAAAGGACCTTGTGAATCGTTTTGATGAATCTGCAGGGGCAGAATGTTGACTCCAGTCATTGCCGCCATTGTCGCGTTGCCATGACTATATCGAGTACAATACCTCCAGGCTATTTTTTCCCAAGATGAAAATCTTTTCCAAAATTAATCGAATATGTTAACAATTATGCCTGTCTGCTTCAAAATTGACGAGATTTTTTTCCTACATAAAAAATATTTCAAAAATTAATCAAATATGTTAAAATATGTGCATGTGCATGCATGAATTTAACGAGATTTTCTTCCCAGATGCAAAACTTTCCCAAAATTAATCAAATATGTTAAAATCTGTGCATGTGCATGCATGAATTTAACGAGATTTTCTTCCCAGATGAAAAACTTTCCCAAAATTAATCAAATATGTTAAAATCTGTGCATGTGCATGCATGAATTTAACGAGATTTTCTTCCCAGATGAAAAACTTTCCCAAAATTAATCAAATATGTTAAAATCTGTGCATGTGCATGCATGAATTTAACGAGATTTTCTTCCCAGATGAAAAACTTTCCCAAAATTAATCAAATATGTTAGAAATTATGCACGTCTACTCCATAATTGACAAGGGATTGGAGATAAATTCGTGAAATGCTAGTAAATTTGGCGGGAAGTACTGATTGTGGGAGACGTATAATCCGTTCTCAGAATTTGTGTATAATTAGTGTCAACGCAGTGACACGAATAGTTGATATCAAAATCAGCTTCCATATTTAAACTGTATTATCGGATTTGTATCGTGAGTGGTCTAGTTTGGATTACGTGACTCGTTTAGTGTTTTCTTTTCTCCACTGTGTCAGATTATATATATATATATATGCGAAAATATAATAGGTATAATAATTATAGCGAAGTATTGTTATATATTTTCAGGGACGGACCATTTGAAATTTTGGGTGGGTATGAACATTTTGGAAGAACAACACATTTGCTAGAAAACAAAATGCAAATAGGGACAATGAAAAAAGTGTTTTCAGAAAAAAAAATACATATTTAATTTACTAAAATACCAGAAAATATTTCCTCTTGTTGTAAGGTCAAACACAAATTTAAAGGTTTAAGAAATGTTCTCATTTTCACCCCATAATTAAAGGTAATACATAGAATCAGTTACTATATTTACGTCACCAATGAGTTAGATTAAATCTTCTGCCGTTCTAAAGATAATGCATTGCCAGGCACGTTCACAATTTTATGGAAGATCTCAAGCAACTGTCGTAGCTCACATGAATACTCTCAAATAAAATGCAAAGAAGGATAAATAAACTGACCCATGAATATAGACTGAATTTATTATTACATTTTTGAGTATTCAGTAGATGGACTGTAAAAGGAAAAGCCAACGTCAAGGTGAAATTGTCTACTTTAAACACTAAGATGGCATGTATATTATTAAAATTTTAGCAATCTCACGAATATTAAATTTATGAGCTGTCAGGCATGTGAAGTGTAAATTTGTCACGTGTGAGAAGCTCATTTTGTACTTGTATAACTCCAAATCACTTTCATGTTGAAACGATACGTTCAAATCTTGGCAGTGCCAGCATGAAGAACCGAGTAACACTTTAGTAACCGTTATTCCGCATTAAAATTATTTTCTTTTGTAAATTATAAACTTTCATTTTACCCATTTGGTTGCGTTCCGTTCAAAATAAAAATGATTATCAGCCATCACGATCGATAACAAATTTTCAAACGAGACACGGCCCCGTCACGTGTCAACAACGGCCCTGTCACGTGTCAACAACGGCCCCGTCACGTGTCAACAACGGCCCTGTCACGTGTCAACAACGACCATGTCACAAGTGCGTTATATATTCTAATAACAAAAACACGCCAGGGACACGCGTAGTAAAATTCTTGTGGTGCTTCACAACAAAATGGCGGTGTGTGTTGGCACATGTACTTTCAGTGTTTTAACCGCAATGTATTCTGGGAAGTGAAAGAGGTCCGTTCTTCGACAGCCCAATAAACTCAATAAAATAGCTTCGGCGGTATGCCTAACAATTTTACTTGATGAATTTGTCTCAGATATATCTTGTTACAACGTTCAGAATCCGAAATATCATCAATTTATATTTTGCCAGTGGCTATTAGATTTAATATATACACAACCGTTTGGTAAACCTCCGAAGTCAATATAGATACAGACTCAATACAAACTCACCATGTTTGTACAATGTCGCAATGCAGGACAGCATATCAATCAGAACACCAAACACTAGGCTACTGAATTATGAATAAATGACACATTTATGTAGCATTTCTTTTCCACTTCATAATCTTTATTTATATATTGCACATATACCGTTTTGCATGCATTGTACACAACAAACGGTAAATATGATTCATTCTGGTATATTGGGTAATTTGTCTCATTTTAAACACTCTGAATCAAACAAAAAAGTCACACTTGAATTCGATATAATTAAAATTTCTCTTCAAATATTCATTTTTTACTTCCTCATTGAGTGGATAGAATATCTGTCTCATTTTCTGTTTCCTAAAATTATTTCAACAATACGAGTCGTTTATTATGTGCACTGCGCATAATATGTGGCGCATGTTTTCACACTGCGCATCATGTTGCGCATGACGTCAACGCATGCGCTCTGTGCAATCGCGTTTCATTTTCTTACTACATGATGTCATACTCTGACTCGGCGTGATTGGAGAGTCTGTAATAATGACATGCGCAGTAGAGTGCTGACGAACTCGTTTGTAAATGGAATTGAGATACAATATCTACATAATTTATACATTTTCAGATAAAAATACGCAAGATTAAACATGGCGCCGGGTACAACAGCGCCCTCAAACATGCAATTGTCTAATATTTGCTGTACAGTCTAATTTTGTCGGTCTGGGCGACGTCAACATAAACCAGGGCAATTATAGTTTTCAGCCACCGCAACTGGGGATGTTGGTCAATTTGTCACAAACTATCCAAATATATACATTTTTACGAAGCCCGAGTGAATATACTCATTTATTAGCTACTAACAAAGTGGCGAACTACAACTCAACCACAGTTTAGGCGGGAAAACATCTAGATAGAACGACGACGACGTAGAATTCTTAAACCCATGTTTTTTTGGTTTTTTTCGTTGTATTTTTCGTTGTATTTTTTCGTTGTAATTTCTGCAAACGTCACCCAGAACGGACGATCTAGACAAATAAATCATAATTTGAATTTCACGACTCTCAATTCAAAAATACAACATTTCTTATACAGGTTAAAAATATAATACATATACTCTGGGGAGATCGAAACATCTTTGTTCGGATACACAGTTATTTCAGTTGTGTTGGGACAATGAAAGAACTATGATAATGTGTATATCATGTCAAACATTGTGAACATTACACACAAAATGCAATTTGAAAATAAATATTGTCGCCCATTATAGTTGGCGCATGTTTTCACACTGCGCATTATGTTGCGCATGACGTCAACGCATGCGCTCTACGCACCCTGACTACTAAGACACTGATAGTGGAAGAATGGACGTTTTAAACACCACCTCACGTGACTGCAAGTCTACACTGTTTCGAATCAGGCAAATAAAAAAACGTCCCACGGTAAGGAATGACAAATACAGCATAACATAACCCCGCCTAGAACACAGCGCTATATGCCGCCCTCTACGGGGTATTAACACTGATCACTGAGGCGATTTATTTACGCTGACCATTGAGAGAAGCCTCCTTTGTGAGCCGTTTTTTCTCCTTCCCGCTCAAAACGTTCGTGTTGCATTCGCAACAGTTTGCGCGTACGTACACCCCGCCCAACTTCTCGTTCTGTTTCTCCTCCATTATGTTGACGTGCTGACAGATTTTCAGAACCCCGCAGTATCCTAAGGCCGGTTTGTCGGCGCCTTTACCGAGGCACCCCGTAGCGCCCTCTGTGTCGTCTAATTCTAAGGACGGGTCACGGATTGCCTTTCCGTTTCTGTCGCATTTGCGGTATTTTACAACACTGCCAAACTCGCCCTTGTCGCCATTCTCAACAAAATAATCACTATTGACGAAAAAATCCAGGCTTGGGGAATTTTCGTCTTGCTCTTTCTGGAAACTAGCCCGTACATTGACGTCATCGTTTTTGGTGACGATGTCATATTTTCGAACTGTTGCGTCACTCGCGTTCGGCATTCCACCGTGGTGGCCCTCCCCACAGTCGTCGTCATCGTCGTCATCGTGTTGGTTGCGAGTAACACTATGGCCATTTTCCATTGGCTGTCCGATCCCGCATTCGGCAAACTTCACTCGCACGTCTCGGGCTTTCTGGCGGATCAGATTCCAGTCTAGTCGGATATCGTCTTCGGTGGTGGAGCGTGACGTCACAGTGAAACGAATGACGTATTTGCCCTTGAGTGAGGCCGGTACGACGTAGATTTTACCGGTATGGTTCAGAGCGCTCAGAAGATGTTCATTCAACTCATTGGGTCCCTGTGGAAAAGTGTGAAAAAGAACATTAGAATCAAGTCACAGTAAAATCACCGCATCCACCTTTTGTCTTCGAGTGTAATGTACATACTGTAAAATGACTAATTTTCACTGGGTTTAAATTTCACTCATTTAGCATTTCAGGCATATTCAGTTGGTTTTAAATTCACGGTTTTATCATTTAGATAATGTGTTCTATGCCAAATTTACATATTCACTAGGTTTTAATTTAGTGCATTTTCCAGTCAGCGAAATAAGCTAAATTAAAACCCAGTGAATAATTAACCTTTTACAGTACGTTGTGAGCGTTACATGGAATGTACAGTTTATAAACAGACACGTGCTTTTATCATTTTTGAAATCGGTAAACGAAACTGATATGGGTCTCCGGCAACTGAGCTTTGTACTGCGGATGTGACAGTCACTTCTTTATCTCTATCGACATAAAATGATATGACGTCATATGCATCAATTTTAAGAATATATCGAAGTAATTCTCTTACGTTTAATCTGAAGACCACTAATCCCAGAATTCTCTCTGCTGCTACCTCGAATCCTGGTTCACGTCTCACCAATCCTTCAAACAACTTTGCCAAGCGTATACCCTATGTAAAGCAATATTTTGGTATATGATTTTTAGAGAAAGGCTTGTACTAGTATTTTTAAAACGTGGTGAATATGGTCCTGGATTTAGCTGTGATAGCGCACTTGACTGGGTTCTGTGCGCATGCGTGTGTGTAATTGGTTTACGTCATTCTATTGTTCAAGTAGCACGTGAACTTGATGTAATTATGAACTGCTGAATTACGAGTTACGAAAACACAGAGTTACAAAAATGACCACGCCCATATTTCAGAAACCACGCTCACTTTTATCGAACCAGGCCAAAATAATAACAGAAATAAATTGTTAGTGTTGTTAAACGTCAACATTTAGTAACACAAAGTTTAATTAACAATAACCCGAACTTCGAGTTACGGGCAACATGCAAAATGGTGAAATTTGGAATCGCCAAAGCGGGCGGTCTTATATACATACTAACTGAATAGAGTCTACCAAGATTAGTGTTGAGGGGAACACCCAATCAGCAAATTGAATGGACAGACAGACAACAAATGGGCAGCCAATAAACAAAGCGGACTGGTCCACCAATCAGCACGCTGCAAGCGGCATGCAAAAGAAATGATGGCTGACGTTAGGTGTTATCTTCAAATGAAAGCCCTGCATGTGTGAAGTAGTATTTTTTCAGCTTCTTAAAAAATATATTTAATTCTTATTTATAAATATGTTTTGGAGGTCAGTTGTGCAAATAGTTGTGTCACTAAAACAGCCACTTAATCGCATTTTGTTTTTATGAAAGCCATTGTGCATTGTGGGAAATTTGAGAACATTATTTATTGACCTACCTTGCGCACGTGACTTTGAAGACCTTTGATTCCAAACGATCTGATAACGAACCACAATTTCAACGCTCTGAATCGTCTGCTAAGTGGTATCTGCCAATGCTGTAAAATAACACCAAATATGGTAGTAAGTTTGTGTAATGTCAAATATGGCAGTGAATTGATGTAACACCAAATATGGCAGTGAACTGATGTAACACCAAATATAGTAGTGATTTGATGTAACACCAAATATGGAAGTAAGTTGATGTAACACAAAATATGGCAGTGGATTGATGTAACACCAAATATGGCAGTGGATTGATGTAACACCAAATATGGTAGTGGATTGATGTAACACCAAATATGGTAGTGAATTGATATAATACGAAACACGCACAGTAAATATTTACTTACCATGTAATCAATTGCGAGGCCTGAAATGAGAGAAACAAAACAAAAACAAATTAGTAAATCGTGATATGCAAAATATATGTTAACGAACAGAGACAGAAACAAGCCCGTCTAATTTGCTCTCTATTTTTGATGTTTTGTTTTTGTTCCAGTATTTATGAAGTTCACTTTCTTAAATGGGTCACCGCAACACAAGTTCACAACTTCCGGTTGTGATTGTATGGCGAAACGATTTATTTCCCACCTATTTAATGTAATTTCCATCTATATTCTCATGTTCTAGTTTACATGCTATACAAAGGATGGTTCACACCAAAAGACTCCTGGTAATGTTAAAGGGTGGTTGTCGTCGAACCACGCATGCTCGAGATATACGAGTCTCATATAAACAAAGATGGCGACTTTGACTGTT